AACTTTATTGCATAATCCTACGAGCTCCTTGCAACTGCAAATTAGCTTTACTGCATAATTATAAGCGCAGCGAAATGTAGGAGAAGGCGCAGCAACACGGCAGTTATTCTCAGCAGCCCTCCGTTTCAAGCAACTAAAACTATGGCAAGAGAAGCCAGAACCGCACATGAAACAGCAACAGGAAAGAAGGAGATCGAGGTGAGCTGCAAAAACCCAGGCTTGTACAATCTAAAAGAAACGGAAGGAGCTGAGAACGGCTGAGGACAAAACGGCTCCTATAAAGTATGGTATGGATTCAAGTTCCATTTTCCACATACAAATTAATGGACTGAAACATCCCTCTTTTAATTAATCGCTCTTATATTCCTGTTTTTTCTTCTCTCTCTCTCTCCCTTTTTTCATCCTCATTCTTCCAAAACATTCCCGTTTTTCCCTTATTTTTTCTTCTAACTTTTTCCCAAATCTATACATGTATATGGATAATATCAAATAATTTCCACTACAGCTGTGCCATTTTAAGTAATTCAAATTCTATTAAGCTATGCATATTTATAATTTTGATTTCAATCTACATTTTCAGTGCAATTTTTTATGCGTCTTCCCTTCCACCTAGCTAACTTCCATACAATTATCTAGTGACAGTGTCGTATGTGCTCTACTAAGGCCTGGAAAGGAGAACTGAGCGAAGACATGTCATACTCGTTCCACAACTGCCATTTGTGCACTTTCAAATGCCCCTGCCACTGTACTCATCTGGGGCACACACACCCTTAAATGCGTATTCCTCAGATTTTCACAGATATTTCAGGAATTACCGCAGAAAACTGATTATGAGACACAGCTTCTCCAAAAGTTCCCTGATGCGACGTGGTGACAGCTGCATCCAAAGCGGATCCTACAGAGCGTGCTCCGTTCATGTACTGATGTGCATGCTGATGATGATGACGATTTTGTTGCTGCAACCTACAAAAAATTCAGACATCCTTTTTTTGCCCCACTAAATGCTCTGAAAAATAGCTTGAAGAAAAAAGAAACAGCAGGACTCGACATACTTCATGAAATCGTTTGTGACAGCTGGTTGAGGTACCAGCTGAGCAGCGCGTGAGATGTCCGAGCTAACAGTGATATCGTTGATTAAGGATGAGAACTGACTACTGCTGCTCGTATTGTACAGCAACGAATTACTTTGTAATGTATTGGAATTCGATAGGAAATTTGTGCTATCCATCTGAAAATATTGCAAAAATTAAAAAAAAAAAAAGGAAGTGCATATAAATGGCAAATTTGCGCTTCCTGAAAAGTTCAAAAACCAATGCACGAACAACTGAATACTTTTATGAAATTTAAAATCAGCACGGCCGTGAGTTTTCAAAAAAGGAGATCCGTGATAAAACGCCTCCTAATCGACAAGGTGTATTAACTGC